ATTATTATTATTATTATTATTATTATTATTATTATTATTATTATTATTATTATTATTATTATTATTATTATCATCATTATTATTATTATCACTATTATTATTACTACTACATATTTTTATTTATGGTCCTATGGACACAATACAATTTATCTTGAATCTTTGAATCTTGAAAATTAATTACAGTAAACTGCAACGTCCCAAGTTCAAGGCCTTGAACGTTTGGAAGCATGTCAACACAATTGTAGGCCTATTTAAAAAACTTAATTTATATGAAAAATCACCAATACATAATTAAATGTGAACATTGGTGGTATTATGGATTACGGAGACGCGTACGCGCCCTCTCCCCTGCTTGCGGCATTCAGGGGACTTCGTGTTATCATGTCAAAGTTGGTGGCCAAAGTCTCACGTATCGTCGCGTTGAGGGCGGCCGATATCTTATTGTTTTGAGTCTGGATTGTAAAACCCTAAAAAAAAACATCACGACGATACTATAACTTAGGTGATCACGAGATTCATCGGGGTAAAACAAGCAGGAACTTTATGCATGGGAGAAATGCAGACAGTAGTTCTTCAACATCACCCGGTGTAGGCGAATATATCGAAATCATGGAGGAAGCAGAACCATTTATTTCTAGTCCTAATTCTGTAAACAGAAACTTCCAACGACGACGAGAAGAAGAGGAAACCAAAGAAGAACATTCAGGGCAAAATGCTGTTGGAGACGTGTACCACGATCCTCCACCAATCGGTATAACCAGGGCCTACGCTACTGTTGTTATCCTTTTTGGGATAAATCTTCTAAATTACATGGACAGATACACAGTTGCAGGTGAGGTCTATCCTTGGAATTCTGTGTTCTCCTATTCTATGAATAGATAATATAAAGAAGAGGGCCTCGATTAATTGATTGCGTTGCGGTTTGAAAACAATGTCAGTGTTTTATATGTGGCTAGGCCTAGGCCTATAATTTGTGAAAATAGCCCCAATGCTATTCTTACGACGATGGGTGGGGTGTCTATAAAACGAAGACCGAAGACCCAAAAACAAAGACCCCTATTTTTTCTCATTCATTTTGATGATAATACGCTAGGCTGTCACAAAATCAAAATTACGAAATTTTTTGGGGCGTCTCTGTGAAATTTTCAAGGCCAGGGTCTTCGTTTTATAGACACCCTATGGGTGTCTACAAAACGAAGACCGAAGACACGAAAAAAAAAACTCAAATACATGTGTAATCTAATAATAGCCTCGGAGATAATTCCGGTGGCCGTTCGGACGAGTTTGTTGTAAGTTTAAATGTCATTTTCTTGTGTTTTACTAAAGTTCTTACTGTCAAACTTTTTCAATGCTTTTAAATGTTATTTAAGTTATTTCCATAAGGAGTTAAAGTATTATGAGAAAATGGGAACTGGATTGAACGATAGGAATTTTACTCTGGCCCGGTTGTAGGCCTATACAAATCTAAAGTCAACTTGTGACATGGGCCTTGTTAATGTGATAAATTACGCCCGGAGGCAGCGTGTAATTGAAATATCCACTAAAAAAGGTGGATTTTTGGGACAGATGTTTTTCTAATTTTTTATGGCTAGAGGCAAAATTTAATTGCCACACATGGCCTCTCAGTTGGAAGTACCCGGTAAAACTTTACTCGTCCGAACGGGCCCCTAGAATCAAGGCTCGACCATGTTGATAACCTTCAGAGGCTTCATCATCAGCTATTGTCGGTCCACTGCTGGACAAATGTTTAAAGATGTCGACGCCCAATCAATTTTTTCTCTGGCTGTGTTGCTGTGCGAGGGAGTTTTTTTTTTTTTGGTTTGTTTCTTTCTTTTCTCTTTCTCGTCGAACATGATAATAATTCTCCAGCAAATTCATGATATTGCATGTTTTCACTACTCAGTTTTTTCCTGGAAGTCAGTGCCAATTTTTTATCACCATGCACAGCAAAATAATATGTAGATTTGTTTAGAAAACTCATTTACTGTACACATATCTCCCGGATGTGGAATCTTCTAACTTTGGACCCCTGGTTTACTGTAGGTGGTAGACCTCTACGCAGCATTCAAGCTTTTTGACTTTGCAAAGTATCATTGTTGAAGTTAGAAGGACATTGGACCAAAACCAACGCAGCCAAAACTCACTTGGAGCAAAATCTTTGAAAACTGGGCCCAGCAGACAATCAGAAAACTTGACTTAAACCAACTTGGACCACCAAAACCAACTCATCCCAGGAGATAAATTAGACTAAATTCAACTTGGACCAAATTTAGTTTCTTTTTATATTTTGCAGCCAACTTGATAGAAATACAAAAATTTTTCAAACTCGATGAAAATGATGTGAATGGTAAAAGTGGTTTGCTGCAGACTGTCTTCATAATTGGTTATATGCTGACTTCTCCTATCTTTGGATACTTGGGCGATCGCTACTCAAGGAAGATTATCTTACTTTGTGGAATAGCTATTTGGTCAGGAACAACCCTTGGTGGGTCTTTCGTACCATCAGATGTAAGTCACTTTCATTTAACTTTCATTTTATGTTTTGTTTTTCTTTTTACTTCCTGTTTTCAAACATTCTCATTATTTCATTGAGGAACAGCCCAATGCACTGTTTTACAACAGACAAGTACATTTGTGGCAAAGACAAACCAAACCAGTCACACCTCTCAAAAATAGATTTGTGGTTATTTATACAGGGATAAACAGTAAAATGAGATCTACAAAATGGTAAAAGAATCATTTAAATCCAACATTTTGTTACAGGAGTTTAAACATACAGCTCTTAAATGAACAATATTTGAGAAATCAGCCTTCAAAGTTTATGATTTTGCCATATAACCCTTTAGTTTCATGGCTTTAAATGAATGAAATTTGATATGATATAAGTAGGCCTATATATAGTTTTTGTTATTATTATTGTTTGCCATCCCGATGAGTGGACATGTTGTCGTAACAATTAATAACAATTGATTTGCTACCTGATGTGCCCTCTGACATGTTGATACTTTATTTTCTAGAAATATGGGTTATTCTTATTCCTGCGTGCAGTAGTCGGTGTTGGTGAAGCAAGTTACTCAACAGTTGCGTCCACTATTATTGCTGATCTATTCACAGGCAACAGAAGGACACAAATGTTGATGTTATTCTACTTTGCAATACCTGTAGGAAGGCGAGTATAATAAGATTATACCAGGAAGCTCTTAGACAGTGCCTTCTGTTCTCATAAAACCCTTCAAAATACACTAAACCCGGAAATTATTATATCATTATAAACTGTTTACATGAATTTGATTATTCAGCTTTCTGATCAGCCAATGCCACAATAAATTTCTTTTCAAAATATAAAAGAACAAAGTACTATCTAGACTACCAAATTTTATTTTATTTGATAAAAGTATGCGGCATACCTAATATGATAACATGAAATCATGACCATATGTGGCAAAGATAAGCCAAACCAGTCACTCGTCGCAAATTGTGTTTCAGAGAAAATAGCAAAAACATGCTAGAATGTAAAATTTTTTAAAATCTATTTTATTTCACTAAACTGAGGTTTATGTATCTATAAATCATGCTGTGCTGTTATTTTTCCCAATTTTAATGTTAAAACAACACTTTTTAAAGATTTTATGATAGTTTCTGCATTGGAAATGCCTGAAATCATAAACTTTGAAGGCTGATTTCTCATATATTGTTCTTTAAACAGCTGTATGCTTAAATGCTTGTAACTTCATAAGGAAATGTCAGATTTGAATGATTTTTTACCATTTTATAACTCCTATTTTACACTTTAACCCTGTATTAATAACTCAAAATCGATTTTTGCGACAAGTGACTGGTTTGGCTTGTCTTTGCCACATATATAGGCACATCATGACTACTATGGGCATAGAACAGTTTTGATAGTGTTGATTGTGTTTAGAAGCATCATCAAAAACATAGTTTCATAGCCTCTTGTAGCAAAACTACCCTCATAAAATGTTTTTGATTCTACTTTAAACCTTTCTGTGTATATATCAAGTTTTATTTCAACAAACGAAGGAGTGAGATTCAACCGATACAGTTACCACAAGGCAAACAGTAAAACAATTTTTGAACTTTTGTTTATCATTTACAGTGGTTTAGGTTACATTGCCGGCAGTGCACTTACAAAACTATTTGGATTTTGGCAAGCAGCATTCAGAGTAATAATATTATTTCATCTTTATTATATAGCTTCATTACTGTAGTTAAATGTTTTATTATATTGTTTATTTTAGTTTAGTACTAACAAGGATATAACCAGGGCTGGAAAAAGTGTGTGACTGCGCGACTGGCTGTTGGAGACATTGACCTCCCGGAGGCATAATAATAACATTTATTCCTGGAGGCGTTTGATCAAGATAATTTTCATGGTCGAAGGCACAAAAATATTTTTTCCAGGCCTGGATATAACAAGGGGTTCATTTTGATCTGAAAGTGGAGATTCATGCATACAAGATTATCTCATGGTATATATTAGTGATTCCAAGGGCATAGGAGGGAATTCCCCTGCTTGAACATGATTGAAACTGAATTTGGAGCTAAGCTTAGTGTAATAAAAAAAAAAACTCTTTATTTATTCCTGAATCATAATGTGAAATGATTTAAATGTGATAGTAAAAATTAATATTACTATACTTTTCAAAAATGCACTACAATAATGAATTTAGACCTTTTAATACATGTCTAGGCCTATTACTATATTCCTAGGCCTACAGTGATTAATTTTGACTGGTCGCTATTTTGTGGGGGTGGGGTAAAGCCTGATTACTGTAGCTTCTACTGTAAGTCTGCCACAAAATTTAGGGTAGTGTAGTGAGTTTATTCCTAAGGATCTAAAATTCATTTAAAAGTAAAGTGAATCCTTGTCATGGGGGTCATATACTCTGGAGATTATCCCCAGTTTCCTTGTACCTTGAAGCGGATTAGAGTGTGATGTTCTCCCTGGGTTGGATGCTGGCTCACCGCACAGGTTACTTCCAGCATTTGCTAGTATCCATTCATACAGCTGGGTAGACTGAATCAATGTAGATAAGGTGCCATGCTCAAGGACACAAGCAAAATGCACTGCAAAAGATTAAAACCCTGACCTCAAGGTGGGAAACCAAACTATTTCCACTGTGCCTAAGTACTTGCACAGAGTATAAGTATCAATGCTTGACATAATTATTGTATTCAGGTAACACCGGTTCTTGGAGGGATAAGCTGTATACTTGTCATCTGTTTCATCAAAGAACCAAGGAGAGGGCAAGCTGAGTCAAACAATAGGAACTTTTGGAATACAAGCTATCTAGATGATTTAAAAGCGCTAAAAAATAAGTAAGTTGATGCATCAAGTTTAAATTTATGTTGGTGTGCAGCTGCTGTTGGATTATTAAGATGCTTGCCTTCTTATCCCAGGATCTTGTGCTCAAATCCTGTCTGAAGTCAGATTTTTTTCTATTGAGTAAACACTCGATTGAAACAGTTTGTAAACTATCACATGGTTCCTCCCTTTAGCTGGTGAGTTCTGTGGTTATATTTAAATAAGAATGAAATATAATGAAAAAAAAATGATTGTCTATAATCTTTCTATTTAAATGTACATTTTATCTATATATAAATAATGTGTTTAATAAAGTTTTAATGACCTGATAATTTACTCACTACTATTTCCATATTGGACAAATAAACTTCAAATCATATACAGATTAGTAATATTGTTAACATATCTTGATATTTTTTTTTTCAGTCGAAGTTGGTTGTATTCATCATTAGGATTTGTGTCTGTGGCATGGGTGATTGGTGCTCTGTCATTGTGGGCCCCAGTTGTCATCAAATATGCATATAGTATTCAAGGTTTAGATGATAGCAAGTAAGTAGATCATTAAGCAAGAATTTGTTTCTTATTTAGCAAATGCTTTTGCCAAAAACATCCAGATGGAAGAGAAAATAAAAATAAAATTTTATTGTTGAATGTAAACAGTGTAGTAATTTGATGGTTAAATGCTTTAAATTTATATAATTAGGATGAAATATACATATCTTATTTTTTGAGATTTCAAGGCAGCAGCTGGTGTAATAAAAATAAAGAAAAACTTAATTTTTTTCTGAAATTTACATTTTTTTGTGGCAACGGATGCTCTAATTGGCCAAAAATACAATTGTATTTTTATTTGAAATCATCATTATTGGCGGGCAGCAGGTTCGGTAATCAAGGTTCAAAAGCGATGATGTTGACTTCTATTACCAGGGGAGTGACTTACTTACAAACAGGAGTGTCTCTTTTTTATACTCTTTGGTTTTAATCATAATTGTGATTATTATTATTATGTTTATGTGTATATATCTATTTTATATTATTGATGTCATGAAAAAATGTAATTTAAATTTATTTGAAACAATAAAATGTCACCTAATTCAATATACAAATAGATTTTAACAGGTACAGGTTTTGTTTTTTAGTCATGTAGAGTACTTTTACAGAAGCAATGATTATGATTCCTTTTATTTTATTCTTTCAGTGTAGATTTTTATTTTGGTGCCGTTACTTGTGTATCTGGCTTCCTAGGGGTCGTCACCGGAACGATGGGTGCTCAGTGGTATCGCAGGTTTAATCCACAGGCTGACCCACTTGTTTGTGCATTTGGGCTGATTGTGGGGGCGCCTTTTCTGTACTTGGGACTTCTGTTAGCTCCAATCGTTGATATTGCTGCCTGGGTAAGTTGAATATTTTATAATGAGTCGCTCACTCAGGTATGTACAGCATTATACAAATATGATTTATAGTTAGTTATTATAATTAATTTTATTTATTATTATCAATCGATTGAGTATTAATAATTGATTATTTTACAAGATTTATTATTTGTGTTAATGGTTATTTATTTGGTATTGGTATTGGTACGGCCATTTATAATGCGCCTCTTCCTTGCGGTTAAAAAGTGCAGTTCTTTTCCCTGGTCATTGGATCCACATGCTAAGTGTTGCTGCTGGTAATCAGTGCAGGAGCAGGTAACAACACCAGGTTCCCATTTACGCCTGGGTGAAGAGAAGCAATGCAGATAAAGTGTCTTGCCCAAGGACACAAGCGAAATGCACAGCAAGGGATTGAAACCCCGACCTCGAGGTTGGGAAACCAAACCGTTCCCGCTGCGCCAAACCGCTTCCACATATTTATGATATTTCTGATTATTCTTTTATTTCAATGGATTAGAAATGATTTATTATTATTTAATTTAATAGTGGTAGTTGTACTTACATATATTGGTGCTAGTCAAGGCATCTATGGGTTATATCTGCACCATTATCTTATGGCTGTCTGTGTTCTAGTGGTATGACACACACCTTGTTTGCGAAAAGTTGCAGGTTCGAGTTCAGCCAGAAACGCTTTGTTCCATACAACTTAAAGGGAACCAACTAGACCACTGGGGCTGCTTTAACATTCAAATATATAAAGTAATGATAAATCCAGTGTCATTACTTGAAGTAAAATTGATTTCAGAGTTTTCGTAGATCAAAGTGTTAAGCCCAATAAAGTATTTTATGTTTCATTTTCTAAGTAAATCTTTAATCAATGAATGAAATCAATATAAGTTTTCTTCTTTTGTAGGGACTTATTTTGATAGCAGAGATATTACTGTTTTTAAATTGGGCTTTAGTGCCTGATATACTCTTGGTAAGTTTAATTATTCCTAAAAAAAAAGGAAATTTTCCTCAATATAATCAATCACTTAATACTTTCATTAATATGAAATTAATGATTCTAGAGGTATATAGTGTTTAATTTATAGGTATATACTGTTTAATCTTTTAATGTTGTTGTGCTCTTGCTTTGTTTTTGTTTTAGATTTTTAATTAGAAATATTGTGTAAATCTCATGTAATTCAGCCATAGGGCGGTAATTTGCAGCACAATGATGCTGCGAGTTACGGGTTATTCTCCTACATTTATCTTTAAATCGTTGTGCCACCATGGAGGTATATACCACCATAAGTGCCACATAATAGTCAAATTTTTAGTTAATATTGCTAGTAATATTTTGGTTTTTTTTTTTTTAGTCAGTGGTTGTGCCGACAAGACGTTCCACAGCTTCAGCTATTCAGATGCTCATGGGTCATGCACTAGGGGACGCTTTAAGTCCATATATCATTGGTGCTGTAAGTCTAAATTGCACAGTTCCCAAATATTGCACAAGTAGCAGGAGTCTCCTGGAAAACAGCATGGTTTCTGGCACTCTGTTTCTCCTGCAATAAAAAAAACTCACAGAAACTAACCTATTTCCCACGCAAATTGTTGATTATTGCATGTTTTTTGCCACTGTACTTATCTCTCTCCCAGTAAGCTGGCTATAGATATCACCATGAGCAGTGGAATGTAATTTAAGTCAGATCATCCGGAATAATAATAATAATAATAATAATAATAATAATAATAATAATGGTAGATTTGCATAACACATATTGTTAAGCCCTCTATACACTTCACATTATCATTACCCCGGTTGTTGGATTAAACGCCTATGGAACACCAACTCAAGCTCCCTGGGGGAGTGTTTCATAATGTTCCACTTGTGCCCAATTTTTTCCTCCCACAAATTTAGGCCAAGTTGCGATATCTGTCACTGAATTAGTGGCAATCCCTTTCGCAACACAAACTCATGATGCTCTACATAAACTAAATCTTGTTATGAATTGATTTCGTCATGAGAAAAAAAAAATCGTATCACACTTGACAAGTAAAACACAAGAACCTGGAATTGGAAAGCAACCATCTAAAGCCCTGTCTCGGCTATCAAATTTTATGCGACAAAAACGTGACATGTCTAAATATGGCCAGATTATAACCATATATAGCCACATCATGACCATAAATGGGTATACAACAGTTTTTATCAAAGCTGATAGTCTGGTCATGGATTTATCCACCAAGCTACAGCTCCACTTGTTTGCTCCACACTTGTATTCATATGAAACAACTACCATATTTGAAATAAGTATTTTATTCTGAGGCAGATACGTAAACTGTGTTTGATTTCTTATTTATATGACTACATGATACCGTATTTATAGTTGTCTCAGTTTCATATAGTACTAATAGATGGTTTATATTCATGTCGTATAATTTACTCTTTACACACTTTGTGTATAGTATAGTATTTATAATTAAGCAGACTTAACATATAATTTATAATGTGTATTTATATTATCTATTTAGATCTCGGATTGTATACGAAGGAACATGGACATGTCAGACGAATACGAGCAATTCTACTCTCTGCAGTATTCTTTGTACATAACAACATTCATCACAGTTCTTGGTGGAGGGGCTTTCCTCTTCAATGCACTGTACATAGAACAAGACAAATTGCGAATAGTCAAGATCGTTACAGGTATGCTGGAATTGATTAGTCTAGAGGATAATTTACATGACCACTATGTACTTGTTTCATCTATACAGTAAAACTCTGGAGGCGATTGTATGTTAATTTGCTTTATTTCCAAACTTGCTCCTGTGTAGCGATGTTCGAAAACTGAAAACATAAATCAAACAATAAAAAAGTGTGATTATTACAATTAAACTACACATTCTCAACTAGCTAGCTGATCGTTCCCCTTTTCCAGGACGCCACCTATCGTCCATCCAAAACTTTAGTAAGTTCACTCAACCGAAACGAAAATAAACTCATAGTGGAGACTCATGAACTATGGTGCTATACATCGGTTGTGTTGAACAGCTGAAGCACTAAGTTTTATAAACTATCTTATTGAAACACAAGCCTATAGAAGATTAACATTGGACTGCGGTAAAAACAATTAATGATTATTGTATCTTATTATCACAGCTTTGTACAATTACTAAATTGCAGAAGACACGACTCATCTTCAGTCTCTACTATTCTAAGCATGAATACCATCTGGCAATCAGCTGTATCAAGGCTCACGCCATCAGTAGAGCCTATTAACAAGTCAAGTTAACATTATGAATGATCTCCGATAAATCACAGAAACTATTAGGCTAGACAGGCTAGATTAAAATACAGTAAATTCTAACAACTCACATTCTAGCATCTCTTAACAAACAATCTTAAGAAGATTTAGATTCCCGTCAGTAGGTTGGTTATTTACGTTGCTCACACTCGACTTTCATCTACACGTGTTGTTTTTATCAAGACTATTATTACATCACCCCAAAATTAAGAATGAGGGCGCTCTGTAATTTCGCACAGCGAAACAGTACTTATATATATAAATATTTATTAATTCAATTTAACACCATTTCTTGGTGGATTAGTTACATAAGTTTATTGTTGATACCAGCTGTTCATGTTGACAATAGTTGGAGTGTTTTGAAATGCTTCAGTTTTAAAAATGTTTACATGTTTCTACAAATTGTCGTCGCATGCAATTCACTAAATCTGCTGCTATCAGAGAATTTGGTTTTATTTTGTTTTAAATTTAATATTTTTCTAGGGGATGCTGGGAACCCAGCTGACAGAGTCACAAACGGCGCACTTATAGTTCCTGTGGACGGTCCTGTAGAAGACGACCAGTACGATTCATACAGTGATTGAATGCATTGTGGGAAGGGCATTATTTGCAGTACTGGTAATAGCTTGTTTAAAGGATAAAGATTACAGTATACATACATATTTGAATTAATATTTTGACTTTAGTACCTTTTACTCAGTATAAAAACATCAAAGGAATTTGAAAATTAAAACTTATTTGTACAAATCTACCTTCAGTAATGTTACATTTGTTATATATTCCTAATTTTTCTTCCCAAAACCCCAGCGTACTGTCGCTGATTGTGAAATTGTGTAATTAGCATAAGAATGTGGCAGCATTGTACCGAGAAACCGTAATACTTTTACTCAGAACTTTGGCAATAGTAGGTCCATTCCTGTAAATGAGCCATTATTTTAAAGCTATATAATGTAGATAGTAGGAATATGTTAAAAAGTACATTTTGTGTTTTTGTCAGGCAAGCCTCATATATCCCTTTTAATTAAAGTTCATTAACCTCTTTAACCCCTTCATGCACTGGTGCACATGAGGCCAGGAATTTTAGAAAGGGAGAGATAATGAAAGGACAGAGATCCCTATGGATGGGTGCTCGTGCAATATAAGTACCTCTTTGTATAAACTACTCAACCTGATAAGTTATCAGGACAGTGAACCAGGATTCTTTAAGGGGTTCACTATGATGAAAGCCATTCATACCTAGGCCCCCTGGTGAGGTCCAAAGCAAGAGTTCCAGTGTGGGTGAGGAGACAGCTGTGAGCAGTAGTGCACCTAGGAATAAAGAAATTAGGGAAGCTGATGGAGGCGTAAGGGGCTTGTGCTAGCTGCAAAATAAGGTGATACCAGGTGATTTTTAACTACTTGAGCACACTGTAATTGTTTACTCTGAAAATTTGGTGTGGTGTAGGGCAGGAACCTGCAAGACAAGCTTTTTTTGTAGGACCGTGCTTAACCAATGCCAAAATTTTAACTAAAGTTTTGGATGAAATTGTGATTCGATGTGTTCTCAAATATATATATGTATTTCCAGAACAAAATATACAGTATGGATTATATTTTAATGTTAAATGTTCATCATTGTCAATTTTCTGAAAACAAAAAAAATATATATATATACTGTATATATTTTACTTTTATATATTTAACCATTTTTATTTTGATGTGCATGTTGATACCCATCGGAACTGATTTCCTAGAGACAATTGATAATACAGTAGTGAAAAACGTAAAATATCATGAATTTGGGTGATGTTTTATTTTCTGGGAGATTCTTGGTTGTGGGAGCCAGGTATTCACTGCGCCTAAAGGTCGTCGGCCGACAATTCTATTAAGAATGCAACAACGTGCAATGGATCCTTAATAACCATCCAGTCAGACTGCCGCAGACAGCGTTGCTTGTCTAGCACTCACATGGAGCAGAGTTTGATTCGTCCTACGATTGTCGCAATGAGCGCCCGGCTTTAGTAGTCAAGGTGCTTGCCTTCCAATCCCAATCTCCTGGGTTCAATCTTGGGAGCCACAATCAGCTGCATTTCCCAATCTTCCCAGGAGGGTTGGTTATAGAGAGTATTGTGGGCTAGAAATCAAGGATTAATATACCTAAATATAACAAATGATTTTTAGTTTTTCTTTGTAATATGTATCTATATATTTATTTTTGGAGACAATGTAATGGTTATAGTTGTTTTCCTGCAAGTGTTTCAGTTGTACATTTGTTGGTTGTTTAATTTAAGAAGGCAACAGTATAGCGATTTTATGCAAATCAGGCTTCAAATATTGTGTTTTCTTTGAATCTATAGCTGTGTCCTTGTATTACGCACATATTGTTTCTGTGTTCCTTTTTAGTGCACTGTACATACATTTTGAAATAAATATGGAAATCAATCATATTTTGTGTCTCTTTATTGTTGTAAAATCTGGGGGAATACTAAAAAATTCAATTAATTGGAATTGCATTTAAACATTTTTTCTCCCAGTCAGAGACACGTCAAAACAATACAGTATAACTATTTAAATAAGAATAGAAAGATCTATGCCAAGCATATAATGTAGTAATTGTGTAATTCTAATTCTGAGGATTGTTTTCAGTATGAATATTGTTTTGCTTTCAATTAAATCAACTTCAGTCATTTCCCACCCCCTCCCCTTCTAGAATAAGTTTAAACTCCTTATTTCAATTGCACATTTCAAATAACATACTGTACAAGTACAAATTAACTGTAATAAACAGTTTTTATAAAAAAAAAATGTATAAACTCATATACAATAAATGAAAATGGTAACAAATTATCTTATACAAACAACTGGTAATGTAAATATGGCAATAATTCAGTTAAGCATACCTGTAAAATCAAATGCAACTAAGATATTAAAACCTATACAGTATAAATGGTAACAAACACACACACACCCCACCCTACACGAAAAAAAAAATTGTTGGATATCTTGCTGTGATAAATAAGCACTCAATCTTTACATAAACGTATTGCAAAACTGTAATAAGTACATCCTAATCTGCTACTGTTATCATCAAGGTGTATTATCGGCATTAACAGTACAATAATAAATATAATACCTTACCCAACATATATTTCAATAATATTGTAAATTAATTAGTAAGAGGATTTCTAGACCATAGCCTGTAATCAACAACGGTCATTGGCCGACACGATTCTATTTTAAAATTCTACAAATTTTTATTTTTATTGCAACATTTTAGGAAATTTTGCATTTTTTTGCCCAGTGTTTTTCTTAGTAAATTTAATTTACTGTTGTATTTTCGTATTGATATTGATTTTTGTGTGAGGGCCTCTATAAGTCAGCATTGCTGTTAGGGTCACCCTCGTCAAGTAAATTTAAATAACAAAATAAAAAAATAACGCAACAAAAATTAGCAGATGGTGTCGCGCTCTCAGAGAAGATAGATGGATAGCAGACAGGCACAAGAAAATTGCACTTTTAAAATTAGTAAAAGTTAATATTTAGCATTGTTCGTTTTTCTTAAATTTACATGTACTTAATTATCAGAAAAATTTTCATTTTATCTGAAATGGATCTTTAAAAATTTATTTTATCCCACAATGCATCTTGAAAATTATCTTATCCTATAAAGCATCTGGACTAAGTGCTGTCTTAACCCATAATGCATTTCAGATATCAATGTATTATCCCACAAGGCATTTTGACTACATGATTCAATCGTGACAACATCATGATCTCCTTAAAATTTCATGACCTCTTGAATATTTCTGTTCTTCACTTGGTAGGAGATGATGGTACCGGTACAAGTCCATCAACCTGTCTTTTATGTCCGGATTCCAAAAGCCATGCCTAGCAATAAAAAACAAATAACATTGGCTAAACAAATTTGCATTATATAAATCTAGGATTTGTACCCTTTTATAATCATACCCAAATGCTACCCCTTCTCACAGTCTGTGGCAGATTCAAATTTTCTAAATTGTAAAGAAAAAAGGAAGCTATATTAAAATTCTGAGAGTGACATTTTCGGCCATTTAGAGGTGTCTTGATGATTTGTCTTACCTCAGTTCAACCATGACGATATTATTGCAAAGGAGATTACCCGAAAAAGCTCTGCGCACGCACCACCATGGAAATGAGTTGAGAAGAAAGCTGCCGCAGAGCGTGAAGAATGTTTGCGCGATGCCTATGTGTTCCCTGCCACCAAATGCTCAGCAGACTTAGTTTACCAAAAAATTGAACATGGCGAAATGGAGAGCACCTTCTTTTCTCAATGCGCAATCCTTTCCATTTTGAAGCTGATACATTTATCTTTCAAGAAATACCAAACACATTAATATTTCTACAAAAAAAGAGTTCCGAATTAATTGAAATGTTTACATGAGATTTAAAAGTATTGTATGTTTCAACTTGAATCTCCATAAATTTGATAAAACTCGATAATTCTAATTTTAACAGATATTAATTAAGAAATGTTGGAGGATTATAATTGTGCAAGTCATTTTAGTGTGGACTATTTGAAAATTCAATCCAAAGTAGGAGTAATTTTCAGTTTTATGCTGCCTTAGATTTATAGTCAAACTAGTCAATTTTTAGACCAAATTATAATGAACACAGAAGTAATTGTAACAGAAATATTTTGTGAAATCTGTTTGTGAAATATACACATAACAACATATTGAAAGTCCGAAAATATCCAATCAGGGGAACATTGTTAATTTAAAAGAAATTGAATGAGTTAAAATCAAACGGTTTATCGCACAACTGCTGTGTTGAAGCGTATAAAACCATGTCGTTGCTAACGAAAAAATGTTAATAATAAGGTAATACGCCTGCATGTGATCCAAAGGCGGTGAACACATTGGTTTGTTGCGTCAAAGGGAACTGTTGCCGAGTGATCTCCTTCTTAATAATACCTCCATGGTTCAACCGTGGTGGGCCAGAGGTGGTCTCCTCCTTTCCCCCTCTATTTTGAATTCCTGGACCTGCCAGTGTTAGTGATGAACATATCATCAGGAGTTTTACAAGACTAAACACAGAACTGATTTATATGAACAATAATTAACATGTAGGTTGAAAAAAAAGATGAAAACCTAGGACCTACCTGAAACCTACTCTCTACCAGTGTTTGGAATTGCTGTTTTTGTGCTGGGTTCAGCTTTGCTTCCTTCACTGTCCTTTGCCAATCTTTAATCTGCTTCTGTCTTGTCACTAACGCATTTTCATATTTACTTGGCAAGCTGCCAGGGAATTCCTACAATTGAGATGCATGGATTGAGATGCATGGATTTAGTACTTTAAAAAAGCCTTGTCCAGACCTTCAACATTTCATTTGATAAAAACATGTGACATGCCTAAATATGGTCATGATGACATCACATCATGACCATATAAAGGTACATCATGACTATATATGGGCATTACATGTTTTTTGTCAAATACAATGCGATAGTCTGGACAGGGCGTTAGAAGTGTATGTTGGGATATCATTGCAGAAATATGAAGGTTAAGAGACAAAAGCAATGAATATATAGATTTTACAACAATATAAGAATAGTACTGTAATAAGAAAGTTTGGGACAAGTCATCACACATTTTTTAACATTTTCAAAACTTTGTTAAATGCAAAAACACATCTAATTCAGACTGCTTCACTATCTTGATTCTGCACATAACAATTATCAACTTACATTGCTTGGGGAAATCTGTCATTGAATAAACAACTTATTATAATATCACTCTCATTGTAATTCTTATATATATGACTTACTACAGTATTCATGACCTTTTATATACATGACCCTTGCTTGATTGTCATACATCTGACCGGTAGTATATAAACCGGTAGTAGAATTGCCCGATGATGACGTGTTGACACGTCAAAACATGTCGTTAATTAGTTTCGTGTATTTTATTAAATGCATTACTGCATTTGTATAAGAAAGTGTACAAAACACTGTCACCTTTGATGCAAATTAAGATCCTAAACTATACCTTTGTATCGCCTTCCATTTCGAATGGAATTACAAACATGAAAAATTCTTCTGGGGAAAGAAATGAGTACACTGGTGAACCCTCCTGATGATCTGGACCTTATAAAAAAAAAAAAACAAAAAAAAAACAACATAAAAACAAAATAGATTAATTAACAGATAATAAATACATTGAAACTTTATTTACCAAAAAATAAAAGTACATAAATCATTTATACAGCTTTAATTAAGGGAGCTCTTATAATATATTTGTATAAAAAGTAAACTGTGGAGCAAAAATATATGGACTACTATAAATGTAACTATCAGAGTACAATAAATTTCTCAAGACATACCAACACACAAAGGCTTGTTCCAAACATTCGGTAGAGTTGCTAAGCCTGACGTGGCCATGTGGTCTTCCAGCATCGAGTAGTTAGTATGATAAGGGGCCAAAGTAATACTATCATTGCCTCCAAGGATCAGAGGCCTAGTGGGGGTCATCAGATGAGCTGTGCATAATGTGGAGCCACTGAAATAAAGTGTAAGTGTATATGATAACATTTATGTTAAATTACAATAATACGTAATAGCAAATAATAATAATGATAATGTTGACTGAGAAAATACATGAAAATTAAAACAATACTAATGGTAATAACAGCAGCAACAACAAAAATATCTAATATGTGGCAAAGACAAGCCAAACCAGTCACTCATCGTAAATCGTGTTTCAGAGAAAATGGCTAAAAAATGCTGGAATGTCAAATTTTTAAAAATCTATTTTATTGCATTAAACTAACCTTTATATATCTACACATCATTCTATGCTGTTATTTTCCCCATTTTCAATGTTAAAACAATACTTTTTAAGGATTTAAAGATAGTTTCTGTATGAGAAATGCCTGAAATCAGAAACTTTGACGGTTAATTTCTAATATATTGTTCTTTAAACAGCTGTGTGGTTAAATGCTTGTAACTTCATAAGGAAATGTCTGAGTTGAATGATTTTTTTACCATTTTATAGCTTTTATTTTACTTTCTAACACTGTTTTAATAACTCAAAATCAATTTTTGCAACGAGTGACTGCTTTGGCTTGTCTTTGCCACATATGTAACTTTTTATGCACTTCAATTTTGGCCCACTGTTGTTTGTGGAGGGCGAGCTTCTGTTTGGTGTTTTTAAATCCTTTCATGATTTGTATTTGTGCATGTGTCTGTGCATGTCTCTGTTAGAGTATTCTTATGTGCTCACCTCTTGGAGGTTTTATTGATTAAACAGATTGATTGATTGATTGATTGATTGATTGATTGATTGATTGGTGTTTTTAAATATTTTCATGATTTGTATTTTTTTATGTCTCTGCTTGATTTTGATTATAAATACTGTAATAATACTATAACAGTAACTATTTATAGATTACTTGGATGTGAATGACATTATTTTAAAAATAAGTTTTTTACAAGAAGCATTATAATATGAGTATTGAAGCTAAAAAAAAATGACCAATTGTGAGGCCATAATTTATTCAAAGACTGAATCAATTATGACCTTAAGCTCTGTCTAGATTATTAAATTTTCTTTTGACAAAAAACTGATGGATGCCCATATATAGTCATGATGCGCCTATATATGGTCATGATGTGATGTCATGACCATATTTAGGCATGTCACATGTTTTTGTGAGCTGCAATTCTAATGTAAGACTACCTACCATTACACAGTTGATCTTTAAAGCATTAATGTAAGCTTTTCCAATTATCAGTTTTCACAAATAATTTAATTATCTGTTGTGTATTACTCAATTATTAATAAATAATTAGAAAAATTTTACCTGATGCTAAATCGTCTACATGGCGCAATGATAGTAATGTCTTCACAGCTTGTCACATGCACTGTTGTAGCAACAGGACCAAGGACAATCGTCGAATGCCTACATTTTTCAATACTTACATATCTATAAAAGTAAGTAAATAATTCCACAACAATCAACATTGACAACTCTTGACATCTGTTTTAACATTACAGTATTTTTATTAACTGGGGCAAGTTGAATGGCTGAGCGGTTAAGGCCAAGCACCGCTTCGTACAGCCATAATATCAGCTGGTTCGAACGGAATTCACACCTATAGTTCTGGTGGTGGAACAAGTCTTCTCAGATAAGGACTATAAACCATAGGCCCAGTGTAAACAATTTGGCTCATGGGCACTTTGTATCGGTTCACTGGGTAGCTCAGACATGAAGAGACCCTTGGAGGAGAAGCAAGTTACTGTACGAGCCAGTCCACATCTCAAGAACTTTGAGACTATGGTATAAAGTGCTATAATAAATCTAACTACAATATATTACATCATAACTATGATTATCATTAGCAATACTGTTATTATGATTCTTAGAAATGATAATACAGTACAGTTATTTAATTGTGATCATTATAATTATCACTATTAATAAAATCATAACACTATAGTAATTACCTTTGTTTTACAAGCTTTGAAATTATTTTAATACTAAGATAAAAATCTCTCTGGTAAAATTTTGCAATAATATGCTTTGTTTTGTTTCTTGTAATGTTACCAGGATAGAAACTGTGAAATACTTTTACTTACTTCATAGGTGATAATAAATACATAAAAGCATAGTGACAGCGATGAACTTTAACCCTTGAATTTGTTAACGTAGTTGACATCTAGAATAAAAAATTATTATCAAATTACTTGTAATAAATATTTAAGTGTTCACTAGGGCTATTTCAATTAATCTATGCAGTAATTTGCTATACTACCAGGTACAACTTTACATTTAATAATTACCTTTGCTAATGTTTGTTTACAAACTTGGGATATAATAATCAGCTTTTGACTGAAAAAAAAATTAAAAGTTGATAACAAATTCATCATACATTTAATACAGTTGGGTAAAAATCCATAAAAATGAGCAGAATATAAATACAAATTACAGTAGTTACTAATTAATTCTTAGTAATCAGGCTAAGTACTCACTCTCTTGTTGTAAAGTGTGCATTTGTTGCAACTCTCCCCCTTTTAGCCCCACTCTCTGGTTTCCCCTCAGAATCACATCCTAAAGAGAAAATATCACAAGGTTTTAGTTAACTATCATATTTGATATATTGACGTGTTAACGATAATTAGAAGATCAGTTATCACAGGCATAAGGATTGTACTTTGGTGAGAGAGGTGCTGAGTTGGAAACCTGCCCATGCTGTTCTTGCTTGTGTCCCTGGGTATTGTCTCCCAGTGTGCAATTATTGTTTGTGTAGCCGTTCTCTCTATGAGAATATCCTTGGGTGTCACTGACCAACTTTTAAACACAAGAATAGGAAACCAAAATAAATGCATTTCCATATAATATAATCAAGATAATTCATCATAGGTGGATTCACAGAACCTCAGCCCAACCACGGTGGGGCTGTAGTGGTCTAATCCCTCCACCTATCAAAATACCTCCCTAACCCCCTCTATTTAAAATTTCCACTGTTCATAGTGCATTAGTTCATAATCAACAAGATTTGGTACCTGTGGTTGGCCAAGACAGCCTTCGTCCTGATGCTACGCAGTTACCAACACCGAATGGATTATCTGCAAGGTTTGACCTAAGCCATGATTCAAATGCACGAAAGGAAAATGTTTGAGAAATCTGAAAAAAAACCCCAATTTATATAAAATGATCTATATTTTTAACTACGATATATATAATTGTTATAATGTGTTATTAAAAATTGTAGAGTGGCTATGATGGTAACAATAATTCCAAAAACTTAGCTCTGGTTAAAATGGAGTATGATAGCTAAACTTCGTTTAGTTAGAGAGGATATGGGACAATGTATCTGTTATATGTAGATACTGACACCACCCTATGGCCGCTGCAGGTCCCAAAGAAATGTAAACAATTTTTAATAATAAATAAATTTATTAAAATGTGTTACCTTTGAGTAACCACACTTGACTTGAACTTGCTGTTGCAACGTTACCTCATGAAGCGAGTGAACAGTCCTAAAATAAAAGAAAACGGGATCACAATTTACAATATAACAGTAGAACCATTCACAATGGTTCTTTGGATAAATTATAAAGATGCACAAACAAATGAAGGCAAGCAGATGCTAATGCTTAAAAAAAGTATTTCAATATTTTGCATTTCATTAAAAAATTCTCAAGATCAAGATCTTAACTTTTTCATTTCTATGGCTAAATTTAACTAATTTTATAAGCAAAATACAATATGAACTTACTTGCAGCCATCATATGAACCAGAAATCAGTAAACCAAGAGCTTTGACGGAGTCAATTGTCAATAAAACATCATTAGTTGTACCACTGTAAGTAACTGTAAATAATAAATATGGATAATAAAATTTATATCAACTACAACAATAGTAACTAGTCTTACTATGTTGTTTATACAAAACATAGGGCTTTCCCTCATGGACATAATGAAAACTGGTGTTGTAATTATAAAGTAAAAAACGAAATCATATTTACAAAAAAAAAATGTTGAAGTTAATACTAAAATATGAAGATCACTCGACACTACTGAGACTGGGAGCAGCGCTGCAATGGTTTAGGCTAAACGACCAGAGCCTGCCGAGGTCAGTGAATTTTTTATTATAGCAACTTTGGGTAATTTCACTGAGCAAGAGCAAGAATTTTTCATGCATTACATGGTAATTTTTTGTTTGACTAATAGCTGTAGCTAATTTGAAATGTTTTAGAAAACGCGTTAACATAAAAGTTTATTTGGCCATTTACTAATATTCAAAATATGTAAAAATGATGTCATATTTCAATATGCACATCTTTGATATTTGGTCTTTATTTGGGCAAAGTTTAAAGAAGATTCGGAAAAAAACCAAAGTGTTGGACAGAAAAATCCTGTGCAAAAAGATAGGAAAACAGGATAGAGAATAAAAATAACCCCTCAAAACAATGACTTTTTCCGCTAAAACAGGAAAAGCCAATAAAAATTATAACATTCATAATACAGAGTATATAATACAAAGTATAATAATAATTTATGTCAGAATGAACAAATATAACAACAGTATGCAAATGAATAAATATGTAACCTACTTGTATCTGTGAGCAACAGCATCAGGTCATTGAGATTGTTAAGGACAAAACTTAGACAGGTATTTTCATCCAAACCCTATATATACAAGGTAGAGAATAAGATGGTATCAAGAGAAGAAAATACATATTAAGGGTGCTAGCATAATCCTGATGTTTGAGTATTTAGTTATTATTATTTAAATTAAAATTTTCAAAAAATAATGACAATAATAAATATATAATACCATAGCTAAAATGTAGCAAGTAAGTTTATAAATTTTGTTGTTGTATTAAGGATTCAAGTGTAACTTTTCAATTAAATAAATATATAGGAAAACAGTGGAGAAATTCGTAGAATAATCCCCAATTCATAAGAAATCCAAGCAAAATGAAATGATGTAAATAATAGTACAGCTGTATATTGGCAGATAAGATGGTTGCCTTCCAAACACAAGGTCACAGGGTCAATTCCACAAGTCTCAAAATCAGACTTAGTTTATTAGTGTGTAAAACATTACATGGTTTGTTGCATCCTGCAAGTGATGAGCAACTTGAGGTTGGATAAGAATGAAACAAAAGTAAATGATATTTTATCATGAACATTCTTAATAAGAGCCCCATGCTCCAAAGTAAACCAAAACAGTTATATATTTATTCTTTAATCAAATGAAAACAGTAAAAAATCATGCACGTAATAATCAAGAATATTTATTATGAAATGATAGCAATAATTAAATAATTAAACATATCAAAGTATAGTTAGATATTAAATTTAAAATTATAGAAATATTAGATTTTGTTTATAGTGCATCAATTTTGATGTTGTGATGCTTAAAATAAACATGCAATAAGTATTTGCAATATTTTAAGGTAATGAATGAAAATATATGTGATTACCTGTACATTTATCTACCAGTAAGAAGGTGGAAATAATAATTAACAATACATTTTAAAACAAATAAAATTACAATAAGTGATTTGCATATTTATCGTATACTTAGTAAAACACTTTACAATTAATTCACTAGATAGTTAAGGACAAACATTAGGGTAAACCTATTAAGCAAATGCCTGTCTTATATTAAGTGCACTGACTCAACTAGACAATCACACACATGGTGAAAACAACGGTAATTTTTCAATTTCAATCAAGCCAGATGTTACCGTCAATATTGACGAGAGGCAGCCACAAGGTTTAAATGAATTTATAAGCCATGAAATGCTCGGGCCTAGGACTGAAACATAGCGTGGAACCACTTCACAGCCTGTTAACAGTGCAAAATAGGGTAACTAAGTATGGTCAGTCGAGAATGGTCAGCGTTTGGTTCGAACCCGCAACAAGGTTTAGAACCTGAATGGAGATCGCTGCGCCAAACCGCTTGCCAGTCTATCAAAAATTGTATGTATTTTACTGGTAGAAAAGCTTTAAAGAATAGCAGCAAATTACAGTTGAGCAGTACCACCCAGAGAGGATGGGCAGGGGTAGGTAGGCAGGGCCAGTGCCCCAGGGCAAAACAATTAGAACAAAAAATAAGGTTTATTTTGAAAAAAAAAAATTTCACTTAGTCAATAATTATTTAGTAGGCTGATTTTTCAGATTTTTTCCAAGTTTTCACTAACAATAAGTTGACCGGAGCTGTTCTCAGGGCCCAGGGCTGCTCTCGGCAGTCCATGTGCTTGAGTACACACACAAGGGCAGGTTTAGAGGGGCTAAACAGTTTTAGGATGCCCAAAAATATGTTATCAACATGTACGTTTCTTTATGACAGTGAAATAATAGCCTAGTAAGATGGCCTACATTTAAAATGTTCAGACCTCTGAAAATATTAGTTAATTAACCACACCTGCATCATGAGGGGACACTATTCTTCCATGGTAGTGTGGATTCAAACCACCTGAAATTTTTGGTAGCTAAAAAAATCTTGAATCTGCATCTGCACACAGTGATTACTACTAGTTACTATGCCACTCAACTGTCCACACAATTAAACTTTATGTGAAAAATATATGTGATATGCCCATATTTGGGTGTAATATGACATCATCATGCCCATATATGGGCACATCACATATATTTGTCACAAAAAACTGACTGAGCTTTAGCTGTCATTTGACAAAGTGTTTGTTTCTTTTATAACCATACCTTTGATGTGGAGGATGTTTTACCAGAAATATCAGGTGACCTAGCTCTTGTTGGCCATCTAAACAAAACATTAAGGAACATAAGGGCAACATGACATAAGACCAAAAGTATAAAATATCTAGGCAATTTGTTTACATATTTTTTAACAAAGCGGAGCCCACTTATATTATTTATAAAAAAAACACAAAACAAATGAGGTCATCTTCAAAGGATACTCCTCACCAGTCATTAATGTTGACCTTAACGATATCTTGTGGACTTGCTGGATAAAGAGATAAAGGAGGAACTGTAATGTATCCACTGAGGTTTGGTTCCGTAATGAATCTACACATGATTGGTGAATAAAGACAATTTATTAATCAATTGAATATAATCAAATGAATAATTCACCAACCAATCACATTTGAAGCATGCGATCCCAAAACTAGCTGTTGATTATTGTTAAACTGAGGAATTAGCACATGAATAAGCAATATTGTGTACTTAATTTCAAAGAAGCTATAATACTTTTACTCATAACTTTAAGTAAGTCAATTCTAGTAAATGACCCATCACTATAAAGCTTGTAATGTGCCGAATATGAATATATTAAAAAGTCAATTTTCATTTTTTGGTTGCTGATGCTGGCTTATTTTAATCAATCATCATACCTTGTTCTTTTTTTGTTTTACATTGTCTGTACCGTTCTGCTTGTTGAAGTCTTTCCTCTGGTTCATAGTGACACAGCAAATCAAATCCTTCAAAATACCTGCAAATAAGAGTCAGTGATGATTGACAATAAACTCTAGAAGCGCAGGACTAAAATTTTAAAAAAAATGTTAAATAACCGACCCCAACACAATTTTTTGGCCTATAATCTTCATCATCACCATTTTCAGCCCTCTTGCCAGGATTACTTTAAAGAGTGGCAGAATTTCAGAAAATGTTGTCCAAAAACTTTAAAGGATGTTGCACAAAATTTCAAAGGGTGGATACATTTTTGGTACTACTTATGGTGTTTAAATTTTATTATTAGTAGACTATCTATAAAATCTATTAAATAAGCCTCCTGGACCACTTTCGAGACATTCTGAACGACGCCCAACCACGTCCACCTCAGGCCACCCCAGCATATTTCCTCACTAAAATTTTACCTTGCCCCTCAATTGTCTCCTGCCCCAGATTTTAGATATGGGAGTATATACGGTATCTTGGTTTAGCCTTTCAGTTTTTTTTTTAAATACCCAGCCGAAATTCAGTATTTCATAAGAAATTCACATAAATTCAATTAATAAATGTTTATTATAAATCACCGTTCATAAAAAACTGACACCACTGAATATTGTAATCGTCATGCAATGCATGTATGCACAGGCAGCATATGAAGGGATCCTGCAGTTGGGCTTGTATTGAAGGCGGTGCCTTATAATGATATGAGATTGAACAAGTACTGTTCAACCGGGGACACTTCAGTGTTTATTGTAATGTTTTGAATAAAATATAAAATAAAATTTTAAATGGTTAAATTAGTTTGAATATTTCAAAATAATGGCTAATTTTTCTAATTAATATGTATTTACAACATAATATAATGTAATATAATACAGGATTGTTAAATATAATATAATCATGATTAAGATTATCATGAGATGTAATATGCCAACTAGATTTTCTAGTCAATGGCTGCCAATAACTGATATAATTTCAGTGGCTAAATTTATTATTATTATATACATAGTAAATATTTTTTTAGCGTGGTGCTAACATTTTAAGCGTGTTGCAATCTTTCTTTATTTTTCCTAAGCTTGGCAGTCTTTTCATTTTTTCGCCCAAGCGCGGCGGTGGTGCCACGCTTAATTATAGCTGGCGGGACCCCTGACCATTATTTTTGTTACCATCAATTCAAAAACTGTCATCAACATCAGCAGCATAGTAACTGTAGCTTAGTCCCCTATGTGCTTGTCGTCCAATTCCAGGGTACTGGATTCAAATCCTAAGAGTATTTGGATTTTTTTTCCCTCATTCCTAAAAAACAAATCTACTTTGATAATAAGGAAAATGGCCTTCTCCACTACTTACATCCAGGCCAGATCTTCAGCCATTGTTAGTTTGTTACAAGCTATGTGCTTCCAGACTGGAAAACTTAATCTTGGAAACCCAGAGTCACCTTTGGTCTTTACATAACTGTCTATCTTCTTTAGATACTTGAAGTAGAAAAAAATAAATAAATAAATAAATAAAAAAGAATCATTGTATTAACTAATCCAAATACTGTATCTTAACCTTTGATTATATATTTTTCAATGTATTGTTATAAAGCCAGATGGAATTCCATAAGAAAATTATATTAAGATACTCCTTGTTATAGTACACAAGTGGCCAAAGCGCAGCCCGACAGTGATTTTGTTGCAGTTCGTGAATTAAATTATAAACCCTATACAGCCTGCCAACCATCTTATAGCCCAATACCAATTATCTGCAAAAATTAATATTAGAACTGAGCATAAAAGTGGTATAAAAGCAGTCCTTTAAGGTTATTGTGAGCAAACTGGAAAATCAATGTTTGTGTAAGGCCTTCAGTGTTGAATAAAAAATTGGCCCTACCACCTATTTTAGTGCCCGCCCCTGTTACAGAGTTATGAACATGTATACATCAATATGGGATTTTGAAATGTCAATCAAAATTATACTCACATGTAGAGAAAGTTTTGGGTGAGGTGAAACTTGAAGTGTGCCAAAGGTGAAGGGATCAGAGTTCACCCATAAGGTCACATTTGTTGCCATGGTAGCATGTAGGCTTGATCTTTTCAGAATCCTACAATACAAATAGAAAATATCTAGCAATTACTGTAGTCTGCTACTTTAATGGAATTGTTGTTTTGTCATTTTCCTTCTTTGGTTGACTGATCAATTTTATAGGAAAATTCTTGCATTAGCCTTCTGTGTGAAAAAATGGCAAAAATGTGTTAGAAATGACAGACTGATAGAAGCAATTAATTTTGTTGGCCAAACTGTTGGGAAACTAAAAAACAAAAACAAAAAAAAATCATTTTCTGGGGGGGGGGGGGATCTTCCCCCCCCCCCTCTAAATAATAAGCTTAGGCCTAATACTATGTTTTTACTGTGAAATGAACACTGATATTGATTTAAAAAAAAAATAATAAGAATTAAGTTAGGCCTAGGCCTAGGCCTTGGCGTGAAAGTGCATTAACGTCATACCTTTACCAATAATAACTACTGCAGTGGTCCTCCTCGGCCTAGTATATAGATAGACTCCCGCCCCACCTCTCTCTAGGCCTTGCCTAGGCCACAGACCCTATTGCCTAGGCCTAGTGACATCATGATAGATGAGGAGGGAGAGACAGCAGCTTCCAGCTCAGCATGACTGAATTGATGACGGCTAGCTAGGCTAGTTCCTAAATATAAATGTCACGGTAATTCTAATTCTTTAATAAATCAATTTATTTATTTGTAAACTTATTTTCTATTGCTGACGGTCGCATCAAACACAACAGTAACGAAATAAAGGAAAATCAGACTAACCGTATTTTCTGTTTTTGTCGAGCTACAATCCGCCGCCACTTCACCAATCTACCATTGACATTGAGGGCGCTCAGTTCGAGCAGATATCGATATCGGATCCATCGATATCGAATCGAACGCTCGAGTTGTCGCACGTTGAGTTCAGTTGACCTGACATGACCTGATGACCTACATACATGTGTGAAAAGAAAGGTAAACACAACGAAAGAGTGTACTGGATTTGGAAAGCAAAGTACTGTAGAAGTTTAGAAGAACTTGCATCCGTTGTCAGTTCTATGTAACCTAATAAAATATATTCGTTTATAAAACAGCCCAGAGATTCAACAGATGGAATTAACAGTTCAAGAACATCGGTTACACATTTGCAGTATTGCACGGGAAAATGCATCAATCTTGTCCCATCCAATCCTGAAACTCATACTTGCTCGGTCTTCTTTCAAGTAAGCATAGTTTTACTCATTTAGTTTGACCCTCGAGGTCTAATTGACAATTTAAAGTGTTTTAGTTAAAATAGTGCATTAATATATCCTATAATATATACTATAATTTAGACAATTAATTCAAAGTTTTTTTTTAGCAATGCCTGATGCATGGATGACTCAACAAGAATCACAAGTTCAAAATACGATCTCTCTGTAATTTAATTCCTATTTCTAGATGTAAATATTTCTGCCTGACTGTGACTCCAGATGATATCACATTAGTACTTGATGAAGATGGTTACAAGGGTAAGTGTGTTATTTTTGGTAGTATCCAACAAGCTTGCAGCAATTTGCCAAATGCCAAATATGATTAAAATTTCTTGGATGCAAAACACATTCATATATGGTTAAATTATAAACTAATAAAAATATGTATGTATATCGTTGATCAACTTTCGAATTGACAAACTGTATTAAAAATAATGACAAACTGTATTAAAAATATACAGTAAATTTCAAATTACACATCAAAATAGTGCACACAATGTGACGACCATGACTAAGGCTACTGATAGGAACATGAGTATTGTCCTACTGCGGAAACTACACCAACCCGAAGGCTGGTGTAGTACAATTTATAGTATAATTTGAAATTGCCAAAAGCCTTTCAAATAGACCTAGCGTAGTGGAAAGAGTTTCACCCTGATTTATAACGATTGCTTTCAACTTGGCGGAGAGGATCTTATGGCCCATTAGATCAACTCTAAAAATAATTTGGCCGTCATATAAATTAATTGGCCATTGAGTATATCTGTGCAATCACATTATACTAAAAAATCATGATTAATGTTTTCGTTCAGAGTTGCCGGAGGATGTAACCGTCTCGTCACAATGTAGTCTGTGGGTTGCCATGCATGCTACTTGTGAAGCTTCGGAAGGAGGACCGTGCATGAACAAGTTGACCAAATACGTCATTTTACCGTTGGCAGATAGTGAAATCTCTGTCTTTAACATCTCCACCTTCCAAGATGACTTCATCCTGGTGTGTTGAATTATTTATTATTTATAAGTACTGTAGTGTACTGCACTACAGAGTTGTTATTGTTGTTGTTATGGTTATAGTCATAACGCGTAAGCGTAAATAACACGCGTATCGGCAGACGTGCTGTGTCATGTTTGTTGTCGTTCTCTTGCTGTTTGGGTTCCATGGCGAGCACATCGTTTATCTATACACTGTGTTAATGTGTTGAGTTCAGGGTTCAATAAAGTTGTAAAAGAACCTAGTATGCGTGCATATGTCATTGTACTTTTCGTGGCAAATACATAACAAAACTGGCAACGAGCGGTAGCAACTTTCAGTCCGAAGAAGCTACTTTTCGGACGGGAGCTCAGATTGTGGTCACTGAGTTGACTCATTTTTTGTTTTCATTGGATGGTGTGTTGAAGCCATTTTTGGAATTTTGGAACCGGCGGTATTGAGCATTAACTTTTCGCATTCATTGACATAGTCAAGGCCTAGGAATGTCTACAAAGTTAAGTCTCGGAGAGGTGGGACAGTTTAATAATGCAACTGAACCAAGTACAGTTCGCCCTCAAATTCGAGACCACTTGGGACCTGACAATTTGGGGCGGTCTAATGGTTCAGTTCCACTTAAAGGCTTAGCATTGAGTTAAAAGATTGAGAATTGTTAATTGGTTCTTCGACAAAGCGGTCTCATTAGAGGGGTCTCGAATTGCATGGTGCACTGTAATCATCTTTGCGATTGCAGAGCAGTGGCAGGTAGCTCCAGAAAATTCAGGGGTCCGACATGTCTGATGGGGGTCCGAAACAAGGGGCCAACTAAATCCATAGACAGGGTCATGGCATAAAAATGCTTGTAGGATTCACAGAGAGTTTATACTAAGGCTTACCTTAGTATGGGCCAAATTATACTTTTAGATCACAATATTAAGGATGGACAATCCAAATAGAGTTACCTGAATAGGCAAGTGATTTTGGGTCCGACGACCTGGTTGCCCCAACCCCACTGACGCCACCACTGTTGCATGGAGGTGATATTTCTCTTCCCAACCCCATTTTGAAAGTTTTAATATTTTAAAAATGAGCAGCACAACATTCTCATATCTATAATTTCTGCTTGAATCAGTAGACACACTATTATTATGTCTTCATCTTTCTGTATTACCTTTCAGATTAAGGAGAGTGATTTAGAGAAGGCTGTGGCATGCCTTTCACGTTCAAATCAAGTTACTGTTATAAGAAGAGGTGAACAATTAAGTTCAAGTGATCAGAGCAAACAAAAAGAAACACAAGATGAATTATGTAAGATTAAACATGTTAAAAAAATCTTTATTGTCTCATCACCATCAAATTTTCGCCCACATATTCCAGCCTTTATGGTAAATGAAACCCATGTCTGGCAGGGGTGGATCCAGAATTTTTCAAATGTGGGATGGGGAGGGGGGCACAACATATTCAGAATACATAATAAGTGAGAGCGCTAATTACAATATGCCATGAAATTTTAAAATTTAGTGGCAAAATGGTGGGGGCACATGCCTCCCCCATGCCCCTACTGGATCCGCCCCTGTCTGGGGTGGTGCTTCTACATCTGTTATTCTTGACAAGGTGCATTCCAAAGCAATGAGGCTTTATTGGGGATGAATTTCTCACTTGCTCCATTCAAATGCTTGCTCATCGCCAACATGTCGCTGCTCTTTCCATTTTCTGTCATTACTTCTTTGGAAAATAAGAGCTTATATCCATCATGCCTCCACTATTTCTCCCTGCTAGCATAACATATGGTTGACGCACACTTATCATCAGTACCCTGTTTTTAATCCCTTTGTTCGCACTGCCTCCTTTTCGCGCACATTCATAGTCTGAACTATGATTCTCTGGAACTTTCCCATTTTCTTGTTTCCCTAGATCCTTAACAACATCAAGACTTGCAAAATCGCATCAATTTGCTTTCTCTTACCTCTCTAGCCTAACTCTAATTGCTCCTTTGCAGGTCCTTGTTATAGGTTTCCCCTTTGTCCTCTAATAAAAAAATGTTTATTTTTTGAGAATGTTAATGATTACTTTTACTGTATTATACTGTAAGTAGCGTAATCCTTTGTTTGAATGATATCTAGTACAGAATTGGTAAATAATTGATGCACAGATTAATTTTCAAATTAACTATGATTATCTCATTTTATCTAATCAGTTAGTCAATCACCCCGACCAATCAAACATCCCTTTCAGTCACCTAGCAACAGATTCCTGATAACCAGTATGCATCTCAAAGACCTACGGCATGTTACAGCACCAATTATGGAGCTAATATTATTTCCAGAGAGGTATATTATGGAAGAAAAATAACTACAGTATAACAATATAGCATTTCTGTATTTAGTTGCTGTATATGTGGCAAAGACAAGCCAAACCAGTCACTCGTCGCAAAAATCGATTTTGAGTTATTGATGCAGTGTTAGAGAGTAAAATAATAGCTATAAAATGGTAAAAAAATCATTCAAATCGGACATTTCCTTATGAAGTTACAAGCGTTTAAACACACAGCTGTTTAAAGAACTATATATGAGAAATCAGCCTTCAAAGTTTATGATTTCAGGCATTTCTCATGCATAAACTATCATCAAATCCTTAAGAAATGTTGTTTTAACATTGCACATTGGGAAAATAACAGCATAGAATGATGTGTAGGTATATAAAGGTTAGTTTAGTGCAATAAAATAGATTTTCAAAAATTTGACATTCCAGCATAATTTGGCCATTTTCTCTGAAACACGATTTGCGACGAGTGACTGATTTGGCTTGTCTTTGCCACATATATTTATGTAGTTTCTGCTTAATATTATATGTATTTATTATTTTCAAAATTAGCAATGACTATTTTAAGTGTTTTAGTTTGAATACACATTTTAAATTTCCCTTTTTAGCATTCACAGTTCGAGTAAAGAGGACAAAATATATTTCTTTTCGTTTTCAATCATTCATGACCAAATTTCACTGGTGCTAGATGAAGAGGCTTATACCAGGTAAATATTGTAACCCTAGTTATAGAGCATAAAAACATCTCAATAAAATCAATCAATTAACAATCAGTTCGCTTGTATATATCGACTGCACAATTTCTGTCTGTCCATTCATCATTTAATTGATCAATCAACCATTCCTCATTTTTTACTTGCTCTATTGTTATTTTACTTCATTCTTTATTCATTGATATTGTCTCTTATACACATCTAGATGTGTATAAGAGACAGTGCTTGCTCATCGCCAACATGTCGCTGCTCTTTCCATTTTCTGTCATTACTTCTTTGGAAAATAAGAGCTTATATCCATCATGCCTCCACTATTTCTCCCTGCTAGCATAACATATGGTTGACGCACACTTATCATCAGTACCCTGTTTTTAATCCCTTTGTTCGCACTGCCTCCTTTTCGCGCACATTCATAGTCTGAACTATGATTCTCTGGAACTTTCCCATTTTCTTGTTTCCCTAGATCCTTAACAACATCAAGACTTGCAAAATCGCATCAATTTGCTTTCTCTTACCTCTCTAGCCTAACTCTAATTGCTCCTTTGCAGGTCCTTGTTATAGGTTTCCCCTTTGTCC